CTCTTACATGAAGTAAATTTTGTGTCACCAAACTCCAGAATTATCTCAATCTCTTAACTCCAAACGTTTCAAAAGAATCCAACTACAAAAATTCAAAACCTGAATGGAAGGCAAATTACCAGAACCATCCAGCATGAATGTCTAAGGGTTTCAATTTAAAGCTTATGCCAACATTAAAATTGTCCAGCGAAGAACTTTGTTGATTTCATAGAACACCAGGCGTGCTGTGCATGGTGCGTGTTTAATAAGAAATATAACCTGTTTCCAAAGCAGGGATGCCGGGCTGATATACTAATGTTAACAGTACGTATATTATGCCGAGACTTGGCTTCTTCAGGTAGCAAGAAGAAACCCTGCACACCAAAATTTTTTATAATGTCAGAGGAAACCAAATACAAAGCTTCCTGACTACAGAAGAACTTTTTTTCAAAATCTGAAAACATTTCTACTATGGCATCAACAAAAGCAACAAAACTTTACACAGTGGAAAGACAAGTTAATGAAGAATGAAAGTGGAATTGTACCTTTTCCATGGTGTATAAAAAAGTTGGTTCAAATGCTTTATTCTTCTTCTCAAGCCAGTGCACTGAAATAGATAGCACAATTATTAAGCATATGCCACAACTACAATGGACAAAGAAAGTCATAAGCTTACATGCTTCGCAAAACTTTATAACATGTGCAACAGAATCAGTATATTTAACACCACAAAATGATACCAGTAGGCTACGTTGGCCACCACAATTAAAATAGATTTAATACAAAAAAATTGACACTATTAAACTAACACTAATTATCCTCTATGCATGTATGACAGAAACAAAACCTCTCAAAAATCTGTATTATAATCACTAGTTCAGGTTTAACAGAGAAAATACTTTAGTTTGGTAGCTTTTTGAAGCCACAGAAAACATGACATATTCAGTTCCACAGCTAAATCTTCAGGTCATGCTCTGAAATGAAATGGTCATTCAACCCGGCTATGACATTCTAAAGGGATGGATGTTAAGTTCAATATGAACATGAGAATGACTAGTTATGTCAACAAATACGAGGTCATAGAAACATCCAAAACACTCAACGAGTTATCATGGGACCAGTTATTACCAGCAAAAGAGTTAAGCCTGTCCAGGTAAAGTATTCTCAGCCACTTAGGAACATCAAGGTTTACATGTATGCCTGTAATATCCTGCACTTGAAAATTCAAATTCAGAAAAGGAACAATTGTTTCCATAATGCATATAATCAAGTTAGGATCAAGTAAGAGCTGCATTTAGCATGCCCTTATGATCTATCAGACCTTTTGAAACTTTTCAAAGTGCAAAACTACAAAAATGTATGCGTTAAGAAATATTCACAAGTTATGCCTGGTTAAAGGTAAGGTAAAATCAAGCCAAAATATATTGAGAATTAGACAATACTGGAAAGTCATATGCGTTATCAAAAGAGACTGAAGAATAAATGAAATTGGCATGAATAAGCACTGACTGACAAGGACAATAGTTAAAAGAGAGATTGAAAGGGGAAAAGGGTATTCTTGTAGCATAAAGAATAAAGCCCTGGACAAAGTTAGGAAAATGCAATTATAAAATCTTGCATTCCCTGGCTTTCACTTGAGTAGGTCCATAGAGGCACACACACAGGATACCCCAAAGAAAAAGGAAAGAGGAGTATTGCTTAGAGTGAACTAAACATTTCGATAACTCAGGATGAAATAAGTTTGGCGAGGGTCAGCCCTAATTTCCAAGTTCATATGTTCTACTAGGACAAAACCCAAAATTGAGGCTTAAGAGTTCATTAGATAGCAGAAAAAAAATGAAAAACAACTCACCCACAACTTCTGGAAACCTCGTAAGATTTGCTTAGCGAGTCTCCAAATGAAAGATAAACGCCGGTGCCACTTTTTGCCAAAATGGTTGATGGCTGCTTTAACAGTTTCCTTGGCTGATATAGGAAAGCTACTGCGTGTGTCTAGTTTATCCGTTTTAGCAGAAGCCGCAGGTGGAACATTATCAAGTACAGGCAAACTAGAGCTTTCAGTATTATCTTGTTGATGATGTTCAACATCAGTAGTTTTCCAGAACTTGAAATCCAGTTTGCCCTTACGAGCACCAGAACCAATCCAATTAAACCACATCTTTGCAGCCAAAAAGGGGTCCCCTCCATCTCCTTGATCGGCAATCGGCAATTCAACTTGGTGATCGGTTACAGCATTGACCACGTGATCATCATCAGGAACATCATCATGATCACCATCATGATCAATAAACACATTAGATTCAGACTCATTCTGTGACCACAAACCTGCACTAGTTATCTGATCAAGAAAGAACAAACAATTACCACTTATTGCTATAACCCTAAACAAACAAACAAACAAAAGATCAAAAGGTAAAAAAAGAAAATCAGTAGCAGGGTTTTCTTCTTCTTCTTTTTCTTCTTCTTCTTCCTCTTTTTTTTTTTCATATTTACCTTGATTTGAATAAGCTGGGCTTCCCGTGTTTCAACCCCAGATAGCTGACTTGAACATCCAGGCTACATATAAACAAAGAAAAAAAAAAGATTTACATGGAATCTTGAAAACCCTAAAAAGAAATGATAAAAGAACGTACCTGTTGGACATAATTGGCGTGCATAACAACAAGGATGCAAAAAAGAGTGATGGCAATGAACAGATACATATACTCAAAAGCAGCCCTGACTTTTGGGGTTAGCATCTGAGAGAACCTTTCTTGAACCCTTATGAATGTCTGCTCTGTATCCATCCCTTCTCTTTACAGTACAATACAAGATGATGATAAAGATTATTATTTTGCTGTTTTTCTCATCTCATTTCGTTTCTTCGACACGACGACGATAAGATCAACCTTTCTTCTCGCTCTTCTTTTTTATTCTCCTTCTTCAAATTTGGGGTCAATGCCTTTCAATTTAATGTAAGCTGCTGCTTTTATTAAAGCCAACTGGTATGACTACTACTAATATATACACGTCCGTTCGGTACACGTCCGTTTGGTAATACAGTTACAGATATTTTGTTAAAGTGTTTTTGTGTTAAAAACTGGAAATATATAAAAATAATATATTTTTTTATTTTTGAAAATTATTTTTAAGAGATTCAAAACAAAAATTAATTTTTAATAAAAAATATTTAATTTTTTCAAAAACATAATTTATATCATTTGTAACTAGTTATTGGCCCAATCTTGAAATAATTAAAAAAAGTAAAAACAAAAATAAAATGATTACTTTCTTTATACTTTAATAATGACAATTTTACTTAAAAAATTATTATTTAAAGAGATTTTTTTTTTAAATTTATTCTAATTTAATAATTAAAAATAACATTGATAACCTATATTTTTTAATTTCTTTTTATTCTTCGAATGAGTTTGGCTATAATATGATTGTTGTTGCTTTTTAAAATATTTTTCATTCAGAAAAATATATCAATGAAAAGTATATCAATAATATTTTTTATTTTTTAAAAATTATTTCTAAGATCTGTATATCAAAATAATTTAAAAATATCAAAAATATAATAATTCAAAACAAAAAAAAATTAATTTTTTTCAGAAATGTTTTCCAAACATACTACCAAACACCCTCGATAATCATTATTTTTTGGGTCAATGCTAAAAAAGATACGATTACTACTAATTTTCATAATCGAGTACATTTTCACGTGCTTGGAATAATTTAAAAAAAACTATTAAAAGCTTGTTGGCTATTATGATAATAATTATTTTTAAAATATTTTTATTTAGATTTATATTAAAATAATATTTTTTATTTATTAAAATTTATTTTGAACATTAATATATTAAAATAATTTAAAAATACTAAAAAATAAATTTAATGTAAAAAATAAAAATAATTTTTTTTTCAAAAGTACTTTTAAAACTAAAAAATAAATAGGCTCTAAAAATATAAATTTGTTTTACAATATTATTAAATCCAGGTAAGAAGGTAAATCTTGAAATTCCTTCACTTAGCTCTTTACATAGCGTGAGTTTTTAACCAAATCATATAAGAGCTAGCTCGAGGTGAATTAATAGATGTAATGGGTTCAAAAGAAATTTGGATGACTAGTAAAAACATATATTAACTTATAAAAAAAACAAGAAGATTTTTTTAAAAAAAGTATTATGACGATTACATATTGAATGAATCTAGTCACACGTAACTCGATTCATGAATTTAATTAGGTTTAATCAACTCGATTTATGAATTTAATTAGGTTTAATCATTTTTTAAAATAATTTTTATTTAATTATATGATAGAAATTAGATGCTCGTGAAATAAAACATTAATAATAAAATAAATGCTTGTTTGAGACTATGATAACCCTAAACTAAGCAAGAAAAAAATCATTCACGAAGTCTATTTCCCAACCAATTGAACATCGATGAATGAAATTAATTTTTTTTTAATTATTATTGACAATAAATAAAAGACCAAACTAATTCTACGATGACGATTAAACGCTTGAAACTAAGCTTTAAAAGTGATTTTAAAAAAAAAAAAAGACTCAAACCAAGTGTTGTATTGTATTTATAAGCATTATAGCAATTTAACTCAAAAAATTAGATATAAAAAAGACAATAGCAACTTTAATTAATTAAGAAATAGTCAATTCATAATAATTAAAGAAGGGTGAGTATAAAAGCCATTGTGGGGTGTTTACTATTTAAACCTATACCAATTGATTTAGGTGAATTGTTTAAATCTAGGTTAATATTCTAATTTCGCAATCTATGAATTTGAAAACCTAGGTTTAATTAAAAATTTTATTTGTGAAAAAATTAATACTAAATGATAAGATTGAAGAAAAAATACCAAATAAAAAAAATAATCAAAGTAAAAAAAGATCAAAAAAAGAAGAAGAATGAGCATCAAATATGCAAGGAGAAAATAATAAAAGGGTGAAATTGAAAAAGAAAAAAAATTAAAAAAACTATCTTAAATAAAAAAAATTTAAAAAATGAGAACTAAATATGATAGATAACAAAATTAAAAGAGGATGAAATTGAAATTTTTTTAAAAAGAAATTAATTAAAACAAAACAAATAGATATCAAAAAATTAGGGACAAAATCAAAAGAAAAAAAACTTGAAGGGCTAAAATGAAAATATAAATAGGGCACAAATTTCTATTATAAAATAATAATAAAAAAAGAATAAGGTCAAGTCATGTGCGTGACCCCAGAGAAAGGGCCTACATAAGTGTCTTTAATTTTGTCACCCCTTTTTAATGACCTAAACAAATAAAAGCGATACATCATTTATCAGTCACCACATTTTAGCCACTAGCGTGGTTGGAAAAACAGGTTTTGTTTGTTTTATCAAAAAATCTATTTTTATCTATTTTTTTTTACTTAAAACATCCAGGAAACATTTTAGGAATCTTGTTAAATTAATATATAGCCTCCACAAACATTAAAAAATCGACTTGAAACCGAAAATCTTCTAATGCTCAAATATGTTTTTTATATGTTATCAAAGTAAAAGAATACCTGTTCTTAATTACCTTCATCATATATGTCACGAGGGTGATATTGTTTGGTGACGACGAAGGCTCTCTGTCATGCCTTTTATTGTGGGGTGTTGTGTATTGGAAAAATTATGATTAATTTTTGGGAGTCGTCACCTAGTATTATTGTCATTAGAAACATATGGTTTACGAGAGTCTGAGTAATGGACTATAAGGGGAAGACGCATCACCTCAAGTACACCCTACCTAAGGTAAGCTACATTGTTGTTTGATTGTTTTTTAGGTTGAGTTTCTATGTATTGGTCTTATCTAAGGCTCAAGGCAAATCTCTCTTTTAATCGTTCTAAATTTTAAATTTTAGCATCATATTTATTTACACTTTATATCTTTAATACATGAGGGTATATTTTATCATGTAATTTTACACCCATCAATATTAAAGTCTACATCTGGATCCTAGAAAAAAAAAATAGAAGAAAGATTTTTTGATATTTTGGCCAAACCCTAATGGATGATCATAAACTAGTTATGATATCCATTTTTAGGTTTTTAAAACATGAGAAAATGCAATTTCTTAATGAAAACATGCTTAGAAAGTTTTTAGGATTTGGCCGTACGAATAAAAATAATTTTTAAAAATAAAAATTGATTTAAAAGTTTTTTTGAGATATTTTTGAAAATTTTTTAATTTGTTTTTGAAATATTTTGGAGAAAATCAAGTATTTTAATACTGGATTTGTATTTTACAGTATAAATATACAACCCAATATTATACAAAATTAGTAGAAAAATATTTAAGAAAATTACAAATTTTTTTAAAGGATTTTTGAAATTTTTTCATTTTTTTCTAAAAAATAAATATATAATATAATATAATATATTAATTAAATGTAAAAATGTGGGCCGGCCCGACCCAGATAACTGGGCCAGGCAATAAACCTAGGGAAAAGTGGTTGGGCCGATATTAGCCTAGAAAAGTTTTAGGGTCGGCTGGGTTAACACTAGCCTGACCCAAAGAGATGTTAATTATTTTACCGTTGCATGCAGAAATGAATTCTGCATGCAATGGCCTCGATGAAAAAGAAGGAGACAACACCGAGAGGAGAACAATCTAAAGTGGTGAGGGTCTGTGATCGTGTTAGGGATGTTTGGTCGGTGGCTCAAGAAGCTTAGGCTAAGGTGATAATGGTTGGTGACAAAGAAAGCGAAGAAGAAAAAGAAGACGAGAGGAGCTGCAGAGAGGAGAGAGAAAGGTTCACGGTGGCTTTCGGTGGTCGGTAGATAGCTTTATGCGGCAGAGATGGTGGTGGATAAGCTGTTGGTGGCTAGAATGGCAAAAAGAGAGGGAAAGAAAAACTACAGAAACAGAGGCAAAATGACTGATTTTTGGTTGATTTTGGACCCAATTTTCTCCTTCTCCAAGCCATCAAATTTGCCTCTATTTATAACTAATGAAAGGGGATAATCTCGTCTATACAAGGAAAAAAAACTCAACCCTTGATTTGGTTGGGAAGCATCCTAATCGATGGCTCAAAGTGTGCCTTATGAGTTGTTCAATATACAGAAAAGGCTGCCTAAGTTGGCCTCTTTAGGCCAACGCTAGTGCCATCTCATCGCCATTCAGACCGAACTATTCAGTCGGAGTTGTAAAGAAACTGCACGGGATCATTTTTGTGTACTTTTTGTTAGATTTGACTGAGCAATGAAGCCTTAAATGCATCTAAAAAGTAGTCACCCAAGTAGCATTTTTGAGCAAAATTGGGGAAGACAATGAATAGTGTCTAATGATATGTTGTCTATTTTGTTTTTTCAAAATGGTGTCGTTTGGGATTAATTAGGGATTTTTAATGATTTTCATTTCAGTCCTTCAATTTTCAATTGTTGTCAATTAAACCCCTAATTAACCCTAAATTCTTGATTTAATGTAATTAAGCCCTTGATAAACTTTAATTAGAAACCCGAAGTTACGCACTTTTTATAATATGGTCCCAATTGACCATTAAAATTTTAATTTTTTCAATTTCACCCCCAGTTTTTGTCAAATTAAGCCCCTCAATTTTGGTGCCTTTTATAGATTGATCCTTGAATGCAAAATTCTTCAATTTGGCCTATAATTGACCCCTAAAATTTAATTTTCTTGCAATTTAGCCCTTAATTTCAATCAATTAACATGATAAAAATTAAATTTGGTCTTTTAAAATTTCAATCTTCTCAATTAAGCCCAAATTAGACTCCTAAACTTATTTTTTCACCAATTAAGCCCCAAATAAAATGACCAATTTTAAAGTATAATTAAGTCCTTGCACTTAATTAAATCCTTCAATTGGACCTAAATTAATTCTTAAACATAATTAAAATTTAATTTGGCCCATGATTAAATTAAATTGGCCTATTAAAAATTTAATTATATTCGTGGACTTAATTTTTATGCAAATTCATCTAATAATCATTTAATTTGACATTTAATTTGTATTGT